TTTTTTTTTTTTTTAGATTCCATATATATGCATTAGCATACAGTATTTGTTTTTCTCTTTCTGACTTACTTCACTCTGTATGACAGACTCTAGGTCCATCCACCTCACTACAAATAACTCAATTTTGTTTCTTTTTATGGCTGAGTAATATTCCATTGCATATATGCTCCACATCTTCTTTATCCATTCATCTGTCGATGGACACTTAGGTTGCTTCCATGTCCTGGCTATTGTAAATAGAGCTGCAATGAACATTGTGGTACATGACTCTTTTTGAATTACAGTTTTCTCAGGGTATATGCCCAGTAGTGGGATTGCTGGGTGGTATGGTAGTTCTATTTTTAGTTTTTTAAGGAACCTCCATACTGTTCTCATAGTGGCTGTATCAATTTACATTCCCACCAACAGTGCAAGAGGGTTCCCTTTTCTCCACACCGGACGCTGCTTTTTAAAAAGTAGAATTCAAAATTGAGGAAAGGTTAAAAGAAAAACAAAAAAAAACTTCAGCAATTTAAACTTGAATTTATATGGTCATATTACTTTCAAATATAGTTTCTAAGCCTCTGAAGTGGGTAGGTAGTGAGGAAAGAAATGCAGCAAGTAAGAAAAGCCTGGTTCCAGGTTATTACTGATACCTAAGTGGGATGGTTCACTGAAAAATCACATCAATACAACAACTTCTTAGTCTGGAGGGAAGTGATCTCATCTAACATCTACTTTGATGTAAACTTACCTGTTTTAAGAGTTGTCATTCTGGCTTTATAAACTTTAGAAAATAATCCTGAACTCCAAGAACTTGCCGAACATTAGTTTCACACTTCACTACTATCTAGAAAATGACCTAACGTAACCCAAGACTCCTTCAGCAAGTGAGCCTTAGGCTCAGAACCCGCCCCACCAGCATGTACGCATAGGACAGCGATTTTAAAATTTAGGTTACAGCCTAATCATTAGGCAGATTTTGAAATTCAAATGGATAGCCTGACATCTTTGAATTTAAAACCAAATATCTTATTTTAGTCTTTTCAACTATGTTTAAATTTGTTCTAAGATTTCTTAAACAAAAGAGAAGAAAAATGTAGCATGAACATTATGGTGAGGGATTCCAATAAGCTTAGCCTGGCCACAGCACAGAATATTCTATTGAAAAGAATTAACCTGGGCAAATAAACCCAAAGAAGCCTTAACCCTCCCCAATTCCCTGCAACAGACCAATAAAAATCAAATAAGTACCTCAAATAGAAAGGTGACATAGGTCTTTCATCTTCCTGCGAACTGAGAGGAAAAGAAAACTTGAATTAATATAATTCCTGTTAATATCATAACATCTCAATTTTACGAAAACTCTGTTCCACCTATCACAATTTTTCTTTTGACACATTAGAGCTAATCTCACTATGGAGTAAGGTTAGTAAAATATACTCTACCTTGGACCTAGCCAAGGTCAATTACTTCTTCAAGGGAGACCATCAAGAGAGGTTTCTTTCAAGATTAGCCTAAGGCAAAAGTAATTCACATCACCCTTTGAAGAGGAAGTTTTTACTACCTTATTCTACAAGCCCAATCCAAGTATTCATATATTACACATAAACCCTTAAAATGATTACGTACTCAATGATCTCAGTAAAGCTAATTACAACTCATTAACATGATGATGAAAGTAAGACAGCCAACAAAATACTCCTGTTAAGTGTATGCTACCCTAGCAATGAAATGCTAGGGCTTCAGTAAACAACACTCATGCTCTTTGTCGTCTATAGTTACGCACAGTATTAATGAGGGTGAATAACATGAAAAGACACAAATGAAACTATAAAAAATAGTTTAAGGGACTTCCCTGGTGGCGCAGTGCTTAAGAATCTGCCTGCCAACGCAGGGGACATGGGTTCGATACCCGGTCCAGGAAGATCCCACGTGCCGCGGAGCAATGAAGCCTGTGCGCCACACCTACTGAGCCTGCGCTTTAGAGCCCCTGAGCCACAGCTACTGAGCCCACATACTGCAACTACTGAAGCCTGTGCTCCACAACAAGAGAAATCACCGCAATGAGAAGCCCGCGCACCAAAATGAAGAATAGCCCCCGCTCGCCTCAACTAGAGAAAGCTCGTGTACAGCAGTGAAGACGCAACGCAGCCAAAAAAAAATAGTTTAAGTTCCTCAAACAGCACTGAAGCAATATGAAGCTTAATATAAAAATATTTAATTAAAAATATAAAATATATACTATAGTAAAATATTTTTCCTTTCTTCTACATGTTTTTTTCTTCTGATAAATGACCTCGAATCAATGAATGAGTCTCTCCCCTTCAGTGTCTACTGGAGTGGTCTTTGAACATTTTTGATTACATACTCATATAAAAATTTGCTTTTAAGCAGCTACTCTCCTTAATATATGACTGAGTATCTATTTATGTTAATTATGTGCATCATTAAACAGATAAAAGTAGAAATGTGAAGTATCAGATAAAATTAAGAAGTGCTAATATTTTCTTCTTGTACCCCTGTGGTATACCACAAGCAACATTGATGAAAAGAGAAAAATTTGCTTCAGTTGGTAATATTATCCTGGCAATCACCAAAAATCTTATTACAAGTTATAGTGTAAAACACACACACACACACACACACACACACACACACACACACACACACACGCAACCCTGTCCTGGAAGTTGAAAAGGTCTTAACATTTTAGTTGCAAGACGGCACATAAAATATGGCATACTGGGGCTTCCCTGGTGGCGCAGTGGTTGAGAGTCCGCCTGCCGATGCAGGGAACATGGGTTCGTGGCCCGGTCCGGGAAGATCCCACATGCCGCGGAGCAGCTGGGCCCGTGAGCCATGGCCGCTGAGCCTGCGCGTCCGGAGCCTGTGGACGGCACATAAAATATGGCATACTGGGGCTTCCCTGGTGGCGCAGTGGTTGAGAGTCCGCCTGCCGATGCAGGGAACATGGGTTCGTGGCCCGGTCCGGGAAGATCCCACATGCCGCGGAGCAGCTGGGCCCGTGAGCCATGGCCGCTGAGCCTGCGCGTCCGGAGCCTGTGCTCCGCAAAGGGAAGCGCCACCACAGTGAGAGGCCCGCATACCGGAAAAAAAAAAAAAAAAATGGCATACTATTTGTCACTCTCTGATGATTTTGGTTTCCAATGTCAATATCGCTTCACTATTCTAGTGTTTATCTTGCGAAAGATTTTGTTTGTAACTGATTGTGCCAATTCTTCCCAAGTGAAAGGTAAGTGATGGATCAGCTTTATTCTTGACTCTATAATGTTAATGGGCCGAAGGCAAAGCTTGACAAGTTACAGGCACTAACACCTGGGAACTGTCCAGGTGTCCTGGGAAGAAACCACCTAGAGCAGCGCTATTACAGTAGTGACTACTTTAAGCCAGACTGATACAAGGGGCTTACACATTTGACTTCAACATAGTCCTTGAAAACACTGAACAAATTATAAACATGTTAGAATTGGGTTTGTTTCCTAATCAAGGGTTCAGTGTCAAAGAGTACTAAGTGTGACCGACACTGTGCAAAAAGGCTGCAACAAAAAACCTATAATGATTTTACTATTATGGGAACATTGCCTCCATGTGAAACCGAGCGGGGCCTATGGGGCTCCCAGGCACAGAGGCCTTTCTGTTCCCCATTTCTTTTAGGCAAGACTCCAGCCTCCATGACCTTCCCTGAGTTCCAAAGGGCAGATTGGAACAGTTGCAAATCAAGGGAGGAGCTGCCAAGAAACCACGTGAGGCAAGATTAAAGGGACCAGAGAAACTCATCAAGATTAGCAGACGGACCACCTGAGACCCTGCACACACCCTAATCCTGTCAGCAACCCCACCCTCTCGAAACTCTGCAAAAGAAAGAAGAATGCAGGACTGTTACTGCCTCCATCCTTATTGCACACCCCTGACCACGAGCCCTGACCTCTCCCTATGCCCCAGGGAGGGGGCACAGTTCTTGAGGTGCTAGCCTGCTGTGTTCCCCTCTTTGCCTGGCAAAGAATAAACCCACCCTTGCTTTCTCCTCCAAAACTGTCTCTGTATCTCATTTCGGCATCGGTGTACAGGGAGCCAAGATTTGGGCCACACAAGTGTTATAAAATGAGCACTGCACTAAATACTTTTTTGCCCAGAACAGATCCTTAACTCTAACATGTAACAAATTATAATGAAAATTAACAAGGGTACTTTAGTGAACATTCAATTAGCAATATGGTTGGTTTTCTTAGAATTCAGAAAATCATTTGGGAGATGATTTAAGGGTACAGAGTTCTGAACACAGCTGTTCATGTGCGTTGGCTAACACTTTTTGTGTGTGCCTGAAAATTTCCTTGTAGCCAACAGAGGCAATCAAAATCAATCTTTTCTCTCTTTACACCTTCTCTCCCTCAGACACTTATTCATCAGCCAGGTACCATCTGGCGCTTGACACTAATTATCTCACGTAAATCCTCATAAAAACCCTCCCTGGTACTTGCCCCTCCCTTGAGAGCAGCAGGCTCAGAGAGGGCACACAACTTAACCAGGTCACACAGCTAGTGCTGTGCAGACAACAAACACACTTTTGTTGTTTACTACCTTGCCTTCAATTTTAACTTATCAAAATATTCTGGAGTGAATGTCCTCATTCTGGCACAAGATCTTGTGGACTTTATAATTTATAAGCTCCATGTCATGCTTCTGATTATAGCAACTCTACACCGACCTTAGTCAAAGTCCATTCACAATGCATTATGCCTGATAGTGTGTACAAGGTGATTACTTTATTAACATGTATTGGCACTATGTCAAGAATGTCTCGATAGAAACACAAGTTTTTAATCATGAGCAAATATTTTTCAGGCTGCATTTGTATAAGGTAAACTTGTCAATGAAAGACAAAAATCAGAAATTCTTAATTTGGATATGTCCCTGAATTCTGAGCAGTTATAAGTGTTCCAAAAAAGAAAATATAAGCACTGTTATTTAAGCGAAATGAAACAGACTCAGCAGTAGATTTGCTTACTCAGTAGCAGTCAACAGGGCAGCAATCCATGCACAGTACCCAAGAAGAACAATATAATTTGAAAAGAAAACGAGGATAAATAATTAATTTTGACAATTAGCCTATTTCTTTTTTCCCTTTCATAAAAGTACCCTTGCCCGGGGTTTAGTAATGTAATCTTGACAACAGTATAAATTATGAAACAACTGAAGCATTGATTTCAAATTGATTAAGTCAATTAATTCTAAAAATCAATTTTATGCATTGACTTTACAGGCAATTTGAAGGAAAAATGGCCAAGGACAATTCTTCCAAACAGAACAGAGAAAAGAAACTTTTCCATAAAATTTACACACTGGAATGCAAAACATTTGAAAATATCACCATTTCTACCTCTGTGCAAAATGAATATTGGACTATTATTATATGTCCCCAAACACCTATTTATAGAGATATTTATGCCTGTTCCTAGCTTTACATCAACCTCAGACATGTCCAATGATATTAACTGAGTTGTAATTTTTTCCCTAAATTTTAAATTGAGAATTAATTCAGATTTACTTTCAATTTTTAAAAATAAGCACATGTACTGTGAATGAAGAGGGGAGTGCGTGTCATGAAATGAAGCCAATGACAAACCGTAACAACCTGGAATTCATTCAGTTTCCTCCTTGGTTACTAGTATAAGCCCAATGTTTTAATTATTTCCTGTTTGCTGACTCAGAATAATAGCCAAGTTTAAACAGCTAATTAGTTTGCCTTTTTTTTTTTTTTTTTTAATTTAAATACACTGAGAGATTTGGGCAATCGCCTCATGTATGTCAGGCCACTGGGTGCCTAATGTCCTCAGACATGGGCTGTTATAGTCTCTCAAAACAGCTACCTGTGGGAAGGACATTTATCAAATAGACCCAAGTAACAGTCCAAAGCTAAGAAGCTACAACTGAGAAGGGCAATAACAGACTGGAGGGTTTTAGTGGGGGCCTAACTTACCTTTTTTTTAAATTTAATTTTTATTTTATATTGGTGTTTAATTGATTTACAATGTTATGTTAGCTTCAGGCCTACGGCAAAGTAATTCAGTTACACATATACATATATTCATTCTTTTTCAGATTCTTTTCCCATATAGGTTATTACAGAATACTGAGTACCGTTCCCTGTGCTATACTAACTTATCTTTTTATGCGGTTCAACATTGGTTGAACATAAAGGCACATGAATGGATGACACCTAGACTTACAATCTCTTCCTGAGCTGCACTCATGTCTAAACTGAAGCCACAGAA